GCTTGTTATACCCAAAATAGATCATTTTTGAACAAACGATTCTCTGTCACTCCTACAAGATCTTGAACAATCGTAAACCAAAAGTGAAATTCTTTCATGTGTTTGGTTCAAGATGCTTCGTCTTCAACTCAAGAGAGAATCGGAACAAGTTTGATGCGAAGGCTGATGAATGAATTTTCTTAGGCTACTCCCTGACCTCCAAAGCATATCGAATTCTCAATAAGCGCTCAAAGAAGATCGAAGAAACATACTATATCACCTTTGACGATAGTTATGTTATGAAGGTGAAATCAACAAATGGTGCTATGCAAGAAATCTTTCCAAAGAACGGTCAAGTTATGGCCTCTTTTTCAAATCTTTTCGAGCAACACTTGCTTTTGTTTGACGAGCCTCAAAAGGCAATTGATTCTGAATCATCGGCAAAAGACAACAAAGTTGATCATCTAAAACAAATTATTGACGATGCTGCTCAAAAGATGGTTGATGATCAATCTAAAGAAACTGAAAGGACAGAAGCAAGTGAACCTGTAAGTGACCGTCCTGATGTTGAGGGGGAGGGTCCATCTCTTTTTCATGATCAAGGTTCATCGTTCCAGGGGGAGAGCTTATCACCTCATTCTTCGAGCTATTCTAAGATTCCACTCAAAGAAGGGAACTCCAATCCAGATACCAAACAGGCGTCAGTCTTCGAGGGGGAGAACACCAACGTCGGTGACGATGACATTCAGTCCGAGCTAAAGGAAGAAATAAATGCTGAATTGAATCCCATGTATGATCCAAATTTCCCTCCACTTATCAAATGGTCCAAAGATCACCCTCAAAGTCAAATTATAGGGGAATCTTCGGAAAATGTGTTAACTCATTCTCAAATCGAAGCGAAACAGGCTACACTCTTTTCTAAAATCGAGTTTTGCATGTTCAACTCCTTTGTTTCCACAGTTGAACCGAAGACTGTTAACTCAACGCTTGATCATGCAGATTGGGTTCAAGCCATGCAAGATGAATTAAACGAGTTTGAAAGAAACAAAGTATGGCATCTTATTCCAACTCCAAAGGATGCTTTAGTTGTCGGTATCAAATGGGTTTTTAGGAACAAGATGGATAAGGAGGGGAATGTCATTCGTAACAAAGCGAGGTTGGTGGTCAAAGGATACTGTCAGGAAGAGGGAATCGATTATGAAGAGACCTTCACTCTAGTTGCAAGATTAGAGTATGTTCGTATCTTTATTGCTTATGCAGCTCACAAGAACTTTGAATTTTATCAGATGGATGTCAAATGTGCCTTCCTCAATGGTGAACTTGAAGAAACTGTATATGTTAAGAAACCGCCAGGCTTCGTGAACGAAAGTATCTAAATCATTGTTATGTCCTTGACAAAGTGGTATATGGCCTCAAACAGGCTCCCAGAGCATGGTATGAAACTCTCACTCGTTTCTTAAAAATATCTAAATTCAAACAAGATTCGGTTGACCCAACCTTCTTTCGTAAGCGAGAAGGTAACCACCTTATGATAGTCCAAATTTATGTTGATGACATCATCTTCGACTCCACGAATCCTAGCTTCACAGCTGAATTCAGAAAGTTGATGGAAACTAAATTTGAGATGAGCTCAATGGGTCCAATTAACTTTTTTCTTGGATTGAACATTAGACAGGGACCTGAATGCATTTCTAATAATCAGGAGGCATACACCAAGACTTATAGCTAAATTTGGGATGATGGGAGACTCCAAAGTGAAAGTGCCTATGGCCTTTGGAACTAAGCTTACACCCTCATTGGAGAAACCAGCAGCTGACGTGACACTCTATCGAAAAATGATTGGGTCTCTGATGTATCTTATAGCCAGTAGACATGACATCATGTTTTCAGTCTGTTACTGTGCAAGATTTCAAGCCAACCCACGCGAACCTCATCTACAAGCCATGAAAAAACGCTTTCGCTATCTGAAACGAACCTTCTCTCTCGGTCTGTGGTATCCAACCAACTTAGGATTCTTTGTTCAAGCATTCTCATATGCTGACTTAGGTGGCTGTGGATTAGATCGTAAAAGCACAATTGGAGGATGTCAATTTCTAGATGGTAAATTGGTTAGTTGGCAATCAAAGAAACAAACTTGCATTTCTCTATCCACTACAGAAGCTGAATACATTGCTGCAGCATCCTACACATCTCAAGTCGTTTGGATACAAAGTCAACTTAGGGATTATGGGCTAAACACGAAGAAAATCCCACTATATTGCGACTCTGAAAGCGCAATTAGGATATGGCACAACCCAGTGCAACCTTTGAAGACCAAGCATATAGCACTAAGGTACCATTTCATCAAGGATCACGCCGAAGATGGTAACGTAGAAATTCACTTCGTCAGAACGACTGATCAACTGGTAGACATATTCACAAAGGCTTTACCTGAAGCAAGCTTCAATAAGATTCTACAAGGCCTAGGAATGATGCAAGCTGAATGTGTGCCAAAAATGCCTTCGCTTTCATAAAGGTAACAAGCGAAATAGAGCGACCGAAATACACTGAACGTTCGGTCTATTTCGGGTTCAGTCTATTTCGGGTTCGATCCTTCTGAACTTGTTCGCTTCTTTTTCTTAACAAGGCATTTTAACTGTATTTCTTTTTAATCTTTTTCAATCCTTCTTACCCACATATAAAATTCCAAAAATATTTTTCACTTTTATTCTCATAAATATACCTATAAAATCCAAAAATATTTTTCTCTTTCGATTCAATTGGTCAATTCTCACAAAACACAAAAATATTTTCTTTCATTTCTTTCTAACACTTTTATTTGTCTAAGTGTATTTCTCGATGGTGGAGCTCAAGCAGGTATATTTATTTTATTTTACTCCATTAGTTAGGTGTCCCTAGAAGCATGTTGTTGTATGTTGACTAAAGCCTCGAAAGATTTTGAGTGAAGCCTTAATAACATGATATATACAAATCATGTTTTCCCAATTCAGGCTGTAATACTCTGATCAAGAGCTGCCTTACTCTACTCATATTGAGTTTAGAGTTTTCTGCTTGGTCACTCTTTTCTTTAAAGCAAAGGTACATTCGCTTCATATACCATCTCCAATATTTTTCTCCATTATACTTCGTGTCACCAATATAACCTCTGAGACTCTCAGCATTTACCACTAAGGTTTATGGTTATACAAAATCTGTGTTAATGATCTTAGTCTCATGCCACTATGTACTAAGTGAAATCCACAATTCAACACCTCAAATGAATTAACGGTGAATTCTCATATTCAAGAGTTTACTTGTTACCTAAAGAAATCTCTTTTTATTTTTGCGTGATCTTTTATGAATTTTTCTAAAACCAAGGCTTTTCTTCCTTTAAAGATCTAGTTTATTTTTTTTGAGATATTTCCTCTTGTCACTATAAAAGTTATCTAACCTACTTGTTCAACAGATCACAATAATCTCACAAGTACTTCATTCAATTTCGGTCTCATGTCGAGTATCGACTTCATGAATTGAAGCGAGAGCTACCCTTTATAACCTTTAAAAGATGCCTTTCAATACTTCTTAAAAAGTTATTGATCATTATTTAATGGGAAACCAAGCAAGAACTTCAATGTCTCTCTTGACTTTGATGGAAGTGATTCATGCCCATAATCCATTGTTTACTGTCTATTTAAGGCATCACAAATTATTCCAAAAAATTTGCTTTCTTTCATCATCTTTCACACTCTATGCACAAAAATTTTAATTTTCCACACTCTGGTTCTATTAATAGTGTTCAATAAAGCATCACAGGCAGTGACGATTCAAATGTTAAAGGAGTGAAAATTGGGATAAAGTGGAAGCTGACTCATCGTTTATCCAATCGGTTTGGTAATTTGAAAAAGCACAAATTATGGAATGGCGTGCCAAAAAGGAAAAGATATTTCTCTTTCCTGCGTTATCCTCGGTTTGCCAACTATTCACACATCAAATTAGGCGCTATTTTTGAAACAATCCATGATCTCAACCGGATTTTTCTCACTCCTAGTTGTATGTATAAAAGGGATTCGAATGGTACACTTTAACCTCTACCACTTCCCAAATTCTCTTAAAGAATAATGGCGATCTCTCCTACTGTTCATCATCTTCTTCAAGTAGCTACAATGGCAGATTCTTTATCAGTTCACGATACCTTCGTTCTTCAACCATTACTCACCATCAAACCATAACAGAACCTGATCATCAACCTTACTCCGTTTGTTTATGAGCCTTACATGCTGTACGTCGTTGAGTGTCTCAAATACTCACCTCTCGTCGAAGCGCTCACCAACGTCGAAGTTGTTCCAATGTCATGCCTCTCAATTGTTTACTCTACTGCCTACTATGACAAGATTCATGAATGGATTCACTTCGAAATCCACAATGAGAAGACCTCTATCTCCAAGCACCGCTTCTGTGCCCTAATTGGTCTTTCTCAAGATTAATCTCTGGTAAATCCTGAATCCATTACCACTGGTCAAATGTTTTCTATGTTTTATCAGATGGGATATACAGAAACCCTTACCACCATCGCAAAGTTCAAAAAGTACTACCTTCATCCTCAATGGAATGGCCTTTTCACGCTGCTTTTCAAAGGACTCTCTGAATGAAGCGCTGGCTCAGATGGTGCAAACAATTCTTTCATGACTGTGCTTTATGGGCTATACCATGGGATCAACTTGGATTTTGGGACTATAATCTGGCAGCAGTTTGTACAAAGCTTGGTCTCTTCCTCCAGGCACTCTGAGATCTCGTGTAGGAGATTTTGGATGATCATCACCAACTGGGCAATGGACCGCCTTCATGTTCCAATCATGGCGGATTCTCTTCTCTCCTCCATTGCTACCTTTCATACTATGAAGATTATTGTCAACGATCCAACCAAGTACTCATTTATTGGATCTATTCCGGAGGCTATGCTCGCTCCTATCTTTGCCTCGAGCAACGTTCTCCAACAATACAGGAAGCATCCGTCTTCAGGTCCGAGGGAGCTTACCCCAGCCATGGTTCGCTCTATTGATGAGGCTGACAAACCCGCAAAAAGGGGTAAGAAAGCGGAAACCCAAAAAGAGGCACAGGTTTCCAAACCCACCAAGGCGAAAACCCCTTTGAAGCGAAAGTCTGATCGAGCTGTTACCTCTCCTCCCAAACCGAAGAAGCTGAAGAAGCCTGCTAGGAGGCTAATACTACAATCTTCCAGTGTCTCAGATTCTGAGTATGTTCCTCCCCAAGACAAGATTGCTTCTCCTTCAGCATCTGAGAGCGAAAGCTCTGATGAAGAGTCTTCGGGCCGAGGTGATACTCCACCTCGCTCCCCAACCCCAGAAATTCTAGTTCGCTCTCATCCTCCTTCACCTCCACCTGTAACCATCCCTGTATCTATCCCTCCCATTTTTCCCATTCCAACTACTCTACCATTCACTACAATTCCCATCCCTACTCCCATTCCTTGCAGGATGCTGCTGCTAAGAACGCTCAAGCTGTCAACGCTTCACTAGAGAACCTTTAACGGTCTCTTCAAACTGAACGCTCAAATTTTGAAGCGGCACGACAAGCCATTGAAGCAGCCAATGCATCTCTACATGCTAATGTCAATGATCGTCTGATTCAGCTTAAGGCCGAATTGGCTGTAGAGAATTGATTATGGATGAGCTTGACACGTGCACCTCCCCGCTGAAAATGCAAAACCTCAAGCTGCGTATTGCTACTACTGAGCTCAATGATCTCAAGTTAGAGAAGGAGATCGTTCGTAGATCGGTGGCTGATGTTCACTCCATCCTCCTTCATCTTGTAGAAGCACATGATCCAATCATCACAATTACCACCCGTCGGCATCTGACTTATAAGCTTAGGCCAACATTGGACATCCTTAGTCGTATAGAGGGTGTTCCAATTACTGGTGTCCAGTCGAAACAAGGGGGAGAAAAGTCAACTGAACCTCCTACTGAACCGAAACCGTCATCTGAACCGAAGGGTAATGAAGCTTTGGTTAGTAACAAAGGGAAGAAAAAGAAGAAAATTGGAGAAGATGACACATATGATGAGGATGACATATATGCCGAAAATCCTAAGAAAATAAAGCTCTCTGAAAAAGAGCTGGAAGAAAATCTCAAGAAACAACAGGTTGATATGGAGCGAAAGAACAAGGAGATGGAGATCCTAGAGAAGAAAAAGTCCATGTTTCCTGTGTGGACTGCAGTTTTGCTCCAGAGATTCGCGATTGATGAGCCGAGCATTCTTTGGCTTGAGCCACTTATGTCTTTTGGGGTCGAGATCTCCAAGGACGCACAATTTGACATGCCAATCAACTGAAAGGCATTTGTCTTCCATTGCTTTAATTCAATTGTTGTTGTTCCTTCCCCAGACCCGAAGGTAGATAGGGATCTGTTGGAGTTCTACCTGGAGTTTGCTCAACCCCAGTACTTGACCTGGAGTTTGAAAAAGTTCACAACTGTGAAGGTTTTAAAGCCTTACTCAGCGGGGAAGTTTGTTAATGTTCAATTTAAAGTGACTCGAGGCTCCGAAGGCTCGGTTCACAGCTTCACCCTTGCCGATCTGCCGAACCTGAATCCCCATGACTGGATACTCCCCAACAACATTCTTCTGTCAAATCCTAAGGAGTACCAGCCAATAATTGATCATATCAAGCGTATGCTTGTTTGCTACATACACGAAGTGGCGAAGATGGACCAGGAGATTGTCTCAGCCATTCACAAACGAACTACAATCAAAGCTATGGGCAAGCCTGGCAATGTCAACACTATGGTCAAGGGGAAGATTGATATAATTTACCAAACTGTTATGTTCCTCAGGGGAGAAGGTTAGAAATGTCTGTTCTCTCTTGTTGAAAAACACTTCTTCTCAACATCATGCCTGGAGCATATCTTAGAAATCACCCAGAGGTGTGATCAGAACAGTGTTGCTGATAAGAAATTATTCACTGACATGTTGAGGTGGTACTTACAATTTTGACAGACACTTCTTGTAATAATTCCTCATATGTTTAAAGTTTTAAAGACAGTGAAGCCCACACAGAAGAAATGATCTCTCGCCTCATTTGACGCAAAGGGGGATATTGTTGGGGTTAATAGATTGCGTCATGGGCTCGGTCCTTAGCCCAATTTTAATTGCCGGTATTGGACCTGTCCAACCGTGCATGTTTTGTATTAGGTTTTAGTATATAAGTTGCATGCATGTAGTATTAGTCAGGATCGCTTTCGTTATTATATTTACTCTAAGTTTTGTAAACCCTAGCTCGCCTCTACAGCGGAAGTTCTTTGTAGAACTCTGCTGAGGTGTGACTTTGTTTTGAATCATAAGCATACATTTGATTCCATCCAGTGTTTACTTTCATACTGTTTTTGATTTGTTCTATCTCTATAATCATACCTGTGAAAGATCTAATCGATCTAGAGTTTTTGTTCTCATCACGTTATTGTTCCTTTCGAGCCAGATATGCCATAACAGTAATAAATAATGGATGATGGAAGTTAAGATCAACCGTTTCCTAGGACAATTACCCCATGTGGCTGCAAAATTATATTTTCAGATACGGATGAAAATTCTCTTTTAATAATACCAAACCATGTCAAAATCCATTTCAAAGCTTCATGCTCCAGGATACATCAAATAAGGAGGTGATCTTTAGATTCCGATTCCATTTCACACAATGGACATAATGTGGATTGGAAATTTATCCCCTTACATGCCAAATTGCTAGCCACTGACAACCTTCCTCATGCAGCTCTCCAAAAAAACATATGATTTTGACTTGTACCTCATTTAAATCGTAGATTATGACACGGTACGGTGTGGTTGTGCTCGAATCAAGCATTCTTGTTAATATGCTAACTCTATACCTACAATCAAAATTATTATTGAATCGAAAACCTATCTCTAATGCTGTCATATTTTTCGACATGATAATGAAGCATATGTTTGATAAGTCTTGTTGAAGATTCGTATCTCTTGATTGGCTTTTCCAATTCCATGTGAAATTCGAATTGGAAACTCGCTCATTGACAAAGCAATTCTACCTAAATTCCAAGTCATGTAAATGGGGAAAACAATTTTTTAAGGTAAAGTCACCACACCACCTGTCTTTCCAGAATAAGATGTTGATATTGGAGCTTGTGATTAGGGAGAAAAGTGTGTCCTGATCAATATGATGATCATTGAGACATGTGATGTTTTTCGATATGCTGTTCCATGCTCTAGGAATTCATTTCTTGCTAATGTAATCAATCGGTTTTCTCATTAGATTGTCTATACTAACAATACAATCCTACCATAAATTTCTAGTTTGAACTTTGAACCACCACCACCACTTGGTGAGCAGGGCTAAATTTTGTGCTTACAATGTTCCAACTCCCAAACCTCCATCTTTTTTTCATAAATTATTTTTTACCATGATACCCAATGAATTTTTGCTTTTGAATCATATCTACCCCATATAAATTTGCGCCTCATTTTTTCTAGATCATAGATGATGCCATTAGGAGCTTTAAACAATGAGAAGAAGTATGTCAGCAAGCTGTTGAGATCAAATTTGATTAAAGTTAGTCTACCACCGAATGAAAATGCCTTTGATTTCCAAGTCGACAATCTTGATTGAAATTTCATAACTATGGGTTGCTAATGCTTCTTTAGTCCCATATTTGCTCCAACCAGAACCCCAAGATAAGTAAAAGGAATAGTTCCTTCTAGACATCCCAACACCTGTGCCTGACTTTGAAATTCCAAACTAGTAGTTCCAATTCTAAAAAGTCTCGATTTTTGGAAGTTTACATTAAGATCTAAGAAATTTGAAAGCATTTGCAAATTCATGCTAAGTTCCTAATGGATTTTTTTTATCCCAATCACCAACAAAGATGGAATCATCGACATATAGGGGCATCACGAAGTGGCAAGTCTAGGTTTGTCCACGTGTCTCATTTAAGCCACCACGACATGCCAGTATAGGCCACGATGTAGCAGTTTGCAAGTGACAAACCCTATTTTTCGGGTTTTGTTCCCTATTTAGATGAATGATGAGGCTATGGTCTACTCACCCTCAACCTACACCAGTCTCTTTGAGATTTGAAAAACCCTAAATTCCTTTCTTATTTTAACCCCCTTTGTTGTTCTTTGAAGCCTTTGAAGGAAGAAAGAAGAAGTGATGACATGAACACACTACTTTTATGTTATTATTCTGCCATGAATCTTATGTATATTGGCTTATAATTTACTACAAATGAATATATGAATAATCGCACGTCTAATATTCACATTAGAATTAAAATAATACTACATATATATAAAATTCATAGCTGAATAGTATCATAAAAGTAGTGTTTTTACGTCTTCACTTTATTTACTGTTTTCACTTGAACAATCATATATATATATATATATATATATATATATATATATATATATATATATATATATATATATATATATATATATATATATATATAGGGTTAAGTTCAAATGAGAACACTATTTAATGTGAGAACGTGAGAACACTACTTTATGTTACTATTCTACTATGAATTTTGTAAATACAACGATATGCCATTATTCATCAACAAATATACGACCAATCACACATTAATATTCACATTAAAATTTTGTGTGTACAACTTTATGACATTATTCATCACCGAATATAAAAACAATCACATATTTAACATTCACATTAGAATTTACTAAATTACTACATATATATAAAAAATTTATAGTAGAATAGCAATATAAAATTGAATATATTTATATTATAATTACTACAATACTATACATATTAAATTCATAGTAGAATAGTAACATAAAGTACTGTTCTCACGTTCTCATATTAAATTGTGTTCTCATTTGAACTTAACCGTCTAGCCTAAGTGTTTTTACGTCTTCACTTTATTTACTGTTTTCACTTGAACAATCATATATATATATATATATATATATATATATATATATATATATATATATATATATAGTAGAGTTTAATTGAGGAAAAAAGATTGAAAATAAGGGAATCATTCTCAACCACACATTTATTTTGACGAAAAACACTTAGGCTAGAGGGAGTGGTGAAAAAGAAACCGCACACCCTCCAATGCCATGTCGACTTCAACTCATAATTTTTCTCATTTTAACACTATGAAACCATATGGTGAGAGTAGGAATAAGGTAAAGAGAGAGAAAAGAAGGAATGTGATTTGTTGAAAGAGAAGAAAGAAAGCAAATAAAAGAAGAGAGAGAGAATGAAGACTACAGCTAATTTCTACCGCATTGTCGCAATGATCGCATACAGGGGGCGATGTTCCCCTGTTTATGTGGAAAAATGTACGGTAGAGACCACACCACTCTCTATAGTCTTAGGTGTATTAGTGAAATTAGATAACAAATATACATATGTTTCCAACAAAACATATTTACTTAAACTATACTAATCCTTATCTTAATATACACAAAAATATATTATATTTTTTGTTTTTTGATTTTTAGAAAGCTATTTTTA